CTAGTTGACCGTTGTTTGTCCCAGGTCAGGGGCAGGATGCCACCGGTTGCCTGTTACTTGATTTATACACTGATTATTTGCCTGTAATATCCTAAGGGAATTTCTGCTTTCTTCCGGCTTGCAATGTTATTCACTTACTCTATTACTAGTTCCTAGATCCACTTTCCCGTATTACAGTATATATTGCCAGTATATTATCACTGAGGGAGTATACTGTTATTGAGGGACATCCCCTACACTGTGTAGGCCTCGCGGCTGTGGTGTAAACTGCCTAGTGTGATGCCTCCTCCACAACTTTACATTTATACTTTTTCTATGTACAATTCTCTAACACTATCCACTAATTGATATGTTGTGTTACATGTTCCACTTCACTGTTCAACGTACCACTGCTCGCTATATTTGATATATATCACTTATGCCTGTACACATGAGCCTGGTGGCACTGGCTCACCACGTGGTCCCACATTTATTCTGTATTTAACTCAAAGTTCCATTGTTAATTTCTGCATTCAACTTTCCTACGGGTCACTATGCACTTGGTGATCACTGTGGGCAGTAATCCATGGTTGTAATCCTAAAAAATCCCGGTTTATTCCAGTGTTTTCACAGAGCGCGACGACGACACGTCCGTCCCCTCCCCCACGAACTACGAATCTCCACAGGTACAATCACGAGGGCCTAGCAGAAGGCTGCCAAACACTACCAGTGGAATTATAGCCACACTGGGCAGACCCCCCACCAGGCAATTGAAAAGAAAAACAAAAGAAAAACCCCGCAAAAGTACACGTCTCCAGAGGCAACAGGAACCGGTCGCCGCTTAGGTGGCAGGCTGTGCAACACCTTGACGCCCTAACCAGCACAATACCAATCCCTACCCAGGGCCAAACAAGGGCCCCAAGCCCCAGCTGGCCCCAAGGGCGAGGCAAATGTCGAGCAGCAAGAACCTCTACGGGAATGGTTCCCGAACGCCCCAGGGAAGATAACCCTGTTACGCAAGGCCAGTACTCACAGGGCACTTAGGGAAGTCAGCCACAAAGCACATGCAGCCCCGGCACTGATGAGGTACTCCTGGCCACCGCACAACACAACATACGGCAGTGAATGCCACACAAGGCAAACACCGCCTAGGAAACTGAGGCCAGAGAAGCGTCTATCCCGGTTGACATTAGCTTACGAACTGAAGCTTGGCAGCCGGCGCGATAGGTCCGGAGCTCCCCCCTCCCCCTCTCGGGGCGGGGAGGGCTGCGCGGACGATCGGCGCGGCAGTAAAGTGTGATGTTTGCTTGTTTCCTTGTGATTGTAGGGAGTTTCTACCTCTCTGTTCAGTTTTTTGTTTTAGTTCTTTACCATGTGGGGTTTGTTTTGTCATGCCTACCTTTCTGTGTGCCTGACCCCGGTCGATGGCAGATAAGGAAAACCCCAACCACAAGGGGTTTTCCAGTGCCATTGCTCCCTGAAATCTCTCTGAAGGGGCCAGGTTCTGGCGCTGGTCCCTGGTAGGTCTGAACTCCTTAGCTAATGTCCCAGTCAAATATAACATACATTAGCCTGATAAGCTCTAGGGAGCCGTAGGGGCTCCATACAGAAAACAAGCGTTGAATGTAATAAAAAACCATTTTCTGGGTGAGTCCCGGAGGCTCCCTGGAGCTATCCCCAGGCTGATATGCTAATGTCAGACTTTGGCATTAGTCATGTGTATGGAGTTCTTAGGCCTACTGGGGACCATGGCCAGAACTGGGCCCCCTCAGAGAGGCATGGGGAGCAATGGCCTATAGAAACCCCCGTGTGGTTGGAAGCATTCTATGTCTGCCATCGACCGGATCAGGCACCCAGAAAGGTAAGTGTCCCAAACAAACCCCTTATTCTGGTTAAAATCGCTACCAAAAGCCGAACTAGTGGATAGAACTCTCCAACAGAAAACGAGCAATCTTTCATTATTCTTTCAATCTTTCAAGAAATTATTTCAATGTCTGATTGATTTTTTCTTTTTTTTTTTGCAGTAATATTATTCAATAGTGTGAATTGTGATATATTTATATAATAAAATGTGTGAACCATCGCTGTACTCAAAATTATGGTGTGCATATTAGTGATTCAATTATTATGTTCATAAAACAATAAACAAATAGTTTGCTGTTATTACACTATATACACAGGTTATATATAAGTATGTGCATGTTTTGCTCACCATAACGAAGCAGTAAGTTGGTATTGCGAGTCAAAATGCAACGAGGAGTGACCGCCACACACCAGCCAGCCACTTGCTGCCACTCCCTCCCTCAACAACACCTACCTCACTTGCCCTCATTCTCCTTCCACAATATTGTTTTTTGTATTTACAGTATTCACTATACACAGACATTATATGTAAGTATTTACATGTTTTGTTCACCATAACTGTACATCTAAGCTTGTATGGTGAGTAAAGGCACAAAGACGTAGCTACTCACACAGTCAGCTGGTGGCGGCCGCCCTCAAGGCCAGACTCACTAATATTTCTCCTCCAACAATACTGTTTGTGGTGTTATTACGCTATATACACACATTATATATAAGTATCTACCTGTTTTATTCACCATACCTGTACATATAAGCTGGTATGGTGGCCAAAACCATAGTGGCCACCAGTAAACAACATGACAAGTCGTGCAGACAACGCACCTACATCACCAAAAATTGCAGCTCCCAACCTACTCCACTCGCTGTTATCACACTCTATACACACGTTATATATAAGTATCTACATTTGTGTTCACCATAGTGAACCACTAAGCTGGTATGGTGAGTGCAGTCAATAAAAGGTGGCCACACACAGTCAGAAGACATCGCCACCACCCTCCCTCCCACAGCCTTACTCCTCCCTCCATGGAGCACAGCACTAAATATCACCAGAATCCTGCTATTATCAGAATCCTGGTCAGTTTTATCACAGTCGGGGTCTTCTGTAATACTATCATCGCTAAATAATAGCATGAACATATATATTATGGCATTTGTAGGCGATGCTGTGGTCACAAGCTGAACAGCGGTGCTGTGAGCTCATGCTGCATGTGTCAGCCTTGGTGGCTTGCTGAGTACTGAAGCTCTCACACCCAGGAATGTTGGTCTGGATTTTTTTTCTAGGTGGCATCTGGCAACTATCAGTCGTGGCTGCACTATAGCTGCCCCTATCCCAGGCGGGGTGTTTAAATTATAGAACTAGACACGAAATCATATATATATATATGATTTGCGCAGTTTAAGGGTTAAAGAACACAAAGTAGCCATCACACCTGCAAGAAAAATGACAGGCTGGATAACAAGAACCTTTCACATTAGAGATGCTATACCTATGATGATACTTCTCAAGACGCTAGTGCTCTCTAGAGTGGAATACTGCTACACAATGACAACGCCTTTCAAAGCTGGAGAAATTGTTGACCTGGAGAGCATGCAGAGATCCTTTACTGCTAGAATTCACTCAATAAAGCATCTAAACTATTGGGACTGACTAAAGAGTCTAAATCTGTATTCTCTTTAATGAAGGCGGGAGAGATACATAATAATTTACACGTGAAAAATAGTAGAGGGGCTGGTCCCAAACCTGCACACAGAAATAACATCACATGAGACCAGAAGGCATGGCAGGATGTGCAGAATACCCCCATCGAAAAGCTGAGGTGAAATAGGTACTCTGAGGGAGAAGTATCAACATCAGAGGCCCAAGGCTGTTCAACACGCTTCCACTTCGCATAAGGGGCATAACTGGCCGACCCCTCACAGTGTTCAAGAGAGAACTTGACAAATACCTACAAAGGATACCTGATCAACCAGGCTGTGATTCATACATCAGGCTGTGAGCAGCCGCGTCCAAGAGCCTGGTTGACCAGTCCAGCAACGAGGAAGCCTGGTCGACAACCGGGCCGCGGGGTCGCTAAGCCCCGGAATCACCTCAAGGTAACCTCAAGGTAACCACCAAGGTAGACTATTGCTCCCTGCTTCTCTCTGAGTGGGCCAGGTTCTGGGTCCCGGTAAGCAACAACAACTTTGTGACTGATGACCACAACTAATGTAGCACAATATCAAAAGGATAGCTTCAAGGAGCCTCTGGGGATCCTCACAAAGGATATCATCAGTGGCATGTTGGCTAGATTTGCCAACATAAAAACTGCCTTTAGAAACTTATGTAAGGAATCATTCAGAATTTCGTATACCACTTATGTCAGACCAATCCTGGAGTATGCAGCTCCAGCCTAGAGTCCATACCTATTTAAACACAAGACAAAGTTAGACAAGATTCAGTGATATGCCAACAGAATAGTCCCAGAACTGAAAGGTATGAGTTTGGTGGAAAGGCTACAGGAGCTAAACCTCACATGCCTAGAAGACAGAAGAGTAAGGGAAGACATGATCACCACCTACAAAATTCTCAGAGAAACTGACAGGGTGGACAATGACAAACTAATCAGCATGAGTGGTACATGCACAAGAGGACACAGATGGAAACCGAGTATCGAAATGAGTTACAGAGACATTAGAAAAAATGTTTTCAGTTTCAGAGTAGTTAACAAATGAAATGCATTAGGCAGTGATGTAGTGGAGGAAGACTCCATGCACACTTTCAAATGTAGATATTTGAGCTCAGGAATCTGTACACCAGTTGAATGACAGTTAAGAGGTGGGACAAAAGAGCCAAAGCTCAACCCCTATAAGCACAATTATTAGAGTGCAACTAGGCGAGTACCTCCGTATAGAAATGGCCTCAAGGGCAAAAATACCAAAGAAAATGGGAAACCAGAGCCAGAACAACATGACCACCTGACGCGGTACATCAGTATAGAACTGATCTGTTAGCTCAGCTGACCCGGGCTGGCTCCCTTCTCACCCCATGTGAGGGGGGAGAAGGGGTTTCCTCCCCTACTGAAATTAGATTGTGCGTGCACTATATTCATGCATGACCTTAGATTGTGTGTGCACTATATTCATGGATGACCTTTGAAATATACATTAATATTTACCTCATTTGCTGTCATCATAGATGGATAAATGAGCTTGGTCTGGATGGGAACTAAAGTGACAGTCTTGAAAGTAAGGAAGCCTCGGTCCTGGTGGTTATGAGGAGTCTCAGCCTTCACAATCCTTACAATATTCTCAATACGAATGCCAAACTTCCCGTCTTCATAATATCCAGGTTCTGAAGGAAAAATTATATTAAATAAATACAAAATCAGGCTTTGAGTGTACAGTAAATTAAAAGTTCCTCTTATGGAGGGCTGAATAGTGGCTCCTTGAAGCTAGCTCGCTATGATAGCTACCCCTCCCCCTTCTGAGTCACATCAGCCATAGGAATCCAACATGGCCTACTGGAGACTAGAGCCAGAACCTGGCCCCCCCTCTCATAAAGAGGCACAGGTATCAGGGTATTGTCACAGCCACTCTCACTAAGAGAACATCCAGCAAGGCAGCAAACCAATACAGATAACTGCAAGGTTCAGAGAAAGCAAAGCCCTGGAACAGCCAAACAATTTTGCAAATTATTCACAGAGAATCTAGGTTGAACTCCCCTAACCACCAACAAATAGGTAATTACCTAAGTGTAATTACCTAAGTGTAGTTACAGGATGAGAGCTACGCTCGTGGTGTCCCGTCTTCCCAGCACTCTGTCATATAACGCTTTGAAACTACTGACGGTCTTGGCCTCCACCACCTTCTCACTTAACTTGTTCCAACCGTCTACCACTCTATTTTGCGAAGGTGAATTTTCTTATATTTCTTCAGCATCGGTGTTTAGCTAGTTTAAATCTATGACCTCTTGTTCTTGAAGTGCCAGGTCTCGGGAAATCTTCCCTGTCGATTTTATCAATTCCTGTTACTATTTTGTATGTAGTGATCATATCACCTCTTTTTCTTCTGTCTTCTAGTTTTGGCATGTTTAATGCTTCTAACCTCTCCTTGTAGCTCTTACCCTTCAGTTCTGGGAGCCACTTAGTAGCATGTCTTTGCACCTTTTCCAGTTTGTTGATGTGCTTCTTAAGATATGGGCACCACACAACAGCTGCATATTCTAGCTTTGGCCTAACAAAAGTCATGAACAATTTCTTTAGTATATCGCCATCCATGTATTTAAATGCATTTCTGAAGTTAGAAAGCATAGCATAGGCTCCTTGCACAATATTCTTTATGTGGTCCTCAGGTAATAGTTTTCTATCTAGAACCACCCCTAGATCTCTTTCTTTATCAGAATTCTTTAAAGATTTCTCACATAATATATAGGTTGTGTGGGGTCTATGTTCTCCTATTCCACATTCCATAACATGACATTTATTAACATTAAATTCCATTTGCCAAGTGGTGCTCCATCTACTTATTTTGTCCAGGTCTTCTTGAAGGGCATGACAATCATCTAAATTTCTTATCCTTCCTATTATCTTAGCATCATCAGCAAACATGTTCATATAATTCTGTATACCAACTGGTAGATCATTTATGTACACAATAAACATCACTGGTGCAAGAACTGAACCCTGTGGTACTCCACTTGTGACATTTCTCCATTCCGATACATTGCCTCTGATTACTGCCCTCATTTTTCTATCAGTCAGAAAATTTTTCCTCCATGATAGAAGCTTACCTGTCACCCCTCCAATATTTTCCAGTTTCCAGAACAACCTCTTATGTGGAACTCTGTCGAAAGCCTTTTTTAGGTCCAGATAGATGCAGTCAACCCAACCATCTCTTTCCTGTAATATCTCTGTGTCCCCTAGTGCGTGTGCCCCTTGTGTTAAATAGCCTGTCTTTATCAACCCTGTCGATTCCCTTGAGAATCTTGAATGTGGTGATCATGTCCCCCCTAACTCTTCTGCCTTCCAACGAAGTGAGGTTCAATTCCCGTAGTCTCTCCTCGTAGCTCATACCTCTCAGCTCGGGTACTAGTCTGGTGGCAAACCTTTGAACCTTTTCCAGTTTAGTCTTATGCTTGACTAGATATGGACTCCATGCTGGACCCGCATACTCCAGGATTGGTCTGACATATGTGGTATATAATGTTCTGAAAAGATTCCTTACACAAGTTTCTAAAGGCCGTTCTTATGTTAGCCAACCTGGCATATGCTGCTGATGTTATCCTCTTGATATGAGCTTCAGGGGACAGGTCTGGCATGATATCAACCCCCAGGTCTCTCTCTCTCTCTGACTCTTGAAGTATTTCATCTCCCAAGTGATACCTTGTATCTGGTCTCCTGCTTCCTACCCCTATCTTCATTACATTACATTTGCTTGGGTTAAACTGTAACAGCCATTTGTTCGACCATTCCTGCAGCTTGTCCAGGTCTTCTTGAAGCCTCAAGCTGTCCTCCTCTGTCTTAATCCTTCTCATAATTTTGGCGTCGCCAGCAAACATTGAGAGGAATGAGTCTATACCCTCTAAGAGATCATTTACGTATATCAGAAACAGGATAGGTCCAAGCACAGAGCCCTGTGGGACTCCACTGGTGACTTCACAGCATTCTGAGGTCTCACCCCTCACTATAACTCTCTGCTTCCTATTGCTTAGGTACTCCCTTATCCACTGGAGCACCCTACCAGTTACTCCTGCCTGTTTCTCCAGCTTATGCATCAACCTTTTATGGGGTACTGTGTCAAAGGCTTTCCGACAGTCCAAAAAAATGCAGTCCGCCCATCCTTCTCTTTCTTGCTTAATCTTTGTCACCTGATCGTAGAATTCTATCAAGCCTGTAAGGCAAGATTTACCTTCCCTGAACCCATGTTGATGGGTTGTCATGAAGTTGAAACAGCACGAAGAAGATGTGCTGCTTGGCGGTGGACTATATGCATTTATGATCATTAGTTTATCATCCAGGTGGAAGCAACACCAGGAGCTCCCAGCTTCTATGCCATCTTAGACTTTCCACTCACTGATATACTTGAATTCAAACATCTCTGAATCAATGACCATAGTGAGTCCCACTTCAAGGTAAGTACAAGTTATTCTTTGGACACTGTCCTGTGAGAGCCATTGCTTGTGCAGTGTTCCTGTCTTTCATTTTGTTTTATGAGCATGTTGCACAAACCTAACTTGTTGCACTGACCTCTTTACCTCAAGATGCAAGTATTTAGGGCAGCCCTTCTCTATGTACTCATTATGGCAATGCCCCTGCTCTGACAGTGACTTCTCTGGTGAGTTCAGGAGTTTGCCCAAGAAACAAACTCCCCTTGGTAGTGCATAGGTTTTCAACTCTACTGTGAGGCCCTGTGTTGTGGAGATTTGGTGTTTTCTGTTGTGGAGAGAGCTGGGGTTCACATACTTGTCTATATGGCATGCTGCTGATGCCCTTCTTAGCTATTTTTATCCTTAAGAATGCATTCATTTGTCAGTTCTTTTATGAGGGGGTCCCCCAGTACCTGGGTGTCCTTATTTTTTGGCCTTGGTAAACCCCGTGGGTCTTTGATACGACTCATTATAGTTAAATTCACCGAGCTCGCACTCACTACTTCTGAGTTTGAGGGGTTGTCTGTTGGCTTTACTACAAACCAATAATCAGTTTCATTTTCTAACCCTGGCTACCTGCTGGGTGGGTACTATCCTCTACCCCAAGCCCTGCGACATGTGGGTACACCAGTCCTTTATTTTAGTTAGGGCTCTGTCTTTTGGGTTTTATTTGGTTTAGTAGTAATGAGGCTCTGTCAATCACTTTAGGTTCAGTTCCCCATTTTGTGTGTGGCCCTGTGCTTATGTGGCTGCCACTTAGTCTGCCATGTTTTTTGCCTCTGGGATTTCAGGGTTGGAGCCCCTAGAGTTTTGGCTGATGCAGTCTTCACTGCTCCTCCTTCCATTGTCCATATGGCTTCATTGAGCAGACCCCTTGTACACCCCCTACCCCCTTGCTCTGGGTTCTGGGATGTCTGAGGATTTTGGAGCTCAGCTGAGTTTTCTTAAGTGTGTAGCTAGGCCTTCTCTAGGGCTCATTCTTTCCACTTCGCCGACAGAGACAGACGAGCCATTGCTTCCCACTAGGGATCCAAACCATCTTCTCTGGGGGGGATCTTTCTAGGATCCTTGTAACGTTAATGATGCCTTCCTGTCTATTCAGGGGTTAGGTGTGGAGCTCGGGTCTGCCTCGGGGTCTTCATTTTCAACTTCCAGGACTGGGAGGGGGTGAGGTGATGAGGATCCATGGGTGCTCTTCAGCCCTTGCTGGTCTTTATTTCTATCTTCAGAGTGCGTTTCGCTCGGGGAGGAGGGTTTTTCTTTTCCATGTTCGAGCTGTTTCTCCCCTCCCCACCTCCTGAGTGCGCTTTCATGTTCCATGAGGTTCTGTGGATGTGTATTATTTCTGGAAGTTTCCATCATCCTGCTTAGCATCTTCCAGTGAAGCGCATCAATGATTGGGCAAGTACAACTCAAACTTGGAGGCATATACCTTGCCACGAAATTTTTAAAAGACAAAGACAGTGGACTTATATACTGTGACTCGCAGAGTGCACTCCTGGCATTGAACGCACATAGTAGTAACACCCAGAAAATAGTCAGTGATATTCAAATGAATGTTTTAGCTGCTAAAGAAAACAGATTTGAAATTAAATTCCTATGGATACCATCACATGTTGGCATTTCAAAGCATGACACTGTTGATATGCTTGCAAAGACAGCCTGCAGAAAACTAGTGGTAGAAATTGTTATGGATGTTTCATTAGCAGTGACAAAGAGAATACTTAAACAAATATCTAATGAAAATCTCACCGACCTAACAAATTCACAAAGACCTAAAGTTGCAGCATTAAATATTATGATAGATATCATGAGGAGACATTCACATATGTAACTAATAGAGCAAAAACTCGGCAATGTGATGTTATAGTGGCCAGAATACGTCTGGGATATAGATGTATCTGGCAGCTTTCTCAAAACCCAAATGTCGAGTACACAATGTGTCAACTTTGTGAAAGAGAAAACATGCACTCCCTTGAACATTATATTGTAGAATGTCCCATATTGACTGACTTTTGCCCTCCTGGGCTGAGATATGCTAAACTCTGTAATTACTATATGAATACTGGAACACTTGATATATTGGACTTGTACCCAAGATTGACCATGTAATGTATCAACTATACAATGTATGTATGTGATGTAACTATATAACCTTAGCTTGTAAAAGCACCTTAATCACCCTCAGTGATTAAGTGCTTAATAAC